GTGGAGAGCCATCACTCCACATGGCCCGTTCTGCTGGCAGGCCTCTGGTTGGTCTCCTAAAGCCCGCTGCTAAAATCAGCATTAACATCTACTCCATCCATGGCTGCCTAGAAAAAGGCAAAAGATGCATCAGCATAGCAGGGTCACCAATGGCAATACAGCTCCGACTGGAGACCATGCCGATAATTCCTCCAAGCATGTGTCTTCCGTATCACTTATGAGTGCTGCACTAATGAAAAGGTCATCCTATGTTCTGGAACTGGCTTGGGATAAATCTCCTCCGTGCCTTGCAGTAGGGGGCAGTCAATTCTTTTTTGTCAAACTCCAAATTTCTTGGCCAAGGTACAGTCAAGATCCAGAGTCCAGAGAAAATAATTAATCATTCAAAAGACAAGTAAATAAAAAATGTCAGAGTCTCTTCAAAAGCCTCTGGCAGTCTGAATTTGGCCTGTGGTCTGCCTGTTGCTTACCGCTACAGCACAGATGTACAGGGTATTGTTTCGTTTATAATGCGAGTTTCTATAGACATGGACCAGACTCCTCTCTGATTTGTACAGCATGAGCATATGACTGGCTTTATCCTACTGACTTCTTAAATTGCTGATGACCATAACGATAAGGAGGGGCAAATAAAATCCACAAGGGCCATCAATTACCTATAACAGCAAACTTGAATCAAATAAGCCACAAGCTCATTGAATTCAAATGAGATCATAGCTAATCACTGAAATAGGATCAACCACTATGTTCATTTTCATTTTGCTATAACGCTCTGGGGCAGAGAATTGTTTTTGTTACGCTAGGTGCTGTACATGAATATAATGGAACATCTGAGCTCTATCGCAGGACAAATGAGATTACTGTTAACATTTTATAATAAAAATGTGTATGATTAATCAGGCATTCCTAGGAGTTATATGGAATAAACCCATATAGCTATCTGCCTCCATCTCAAAAGGATATAAATCATTACTGTCCTTATAGCTAAAATGAAATCATATATCCTAGGGTTGGATGAGACCTCAGGAGTCATCGAGTCCAGCCCCCTGCCCAAAGCAGGACCAACCCAACTCAATCATCACAGCCAGGGCTGTGTCGAGCCAGGATTTAAAAACCTCCAGGGATGGAGATTCCACCCCCTCTCTAGGGAATCTATCCCAGTGCTCATGACTGAACTACATGAGCATATGAGCTGTGATCTGTTGTCACTGTAGTACATTTTAAAGATGCATTTATTCCTCCGACACAGAAGCTATTTGTCACCAAACAAACCAAGAGCCTACACTGAAAGCCACAGATGAAGCCTTGTGATGCTGAGGATGCCTCGTGAATGCCAGCCTGAGTCCTAGTCACTGCGAGACTAGAGCTGGCGATTGAGTGGGTGGCCGAGATAAGTCCTGATCCTGCATTGTGCGTATGTACGAATAGCATGGAAAGTTTTGTACATACAGTACTTTTACAGCAGCTCTTTGCAGGATCAGGATGTTGGCACTTAACCGAGGAGCCACCCTCCTGGTGAAAATGGGCACTTTGTTGCAGGAAGGGCTATCTTTTAAATGAGAAGTAAAGGTCAAGGTGGCGTCCGCTGAGGATCACCCTGTGATCCTGTTAATGGAAGTGTGCTATCCATGACTGTTGTCCAATGCAAGTGGCTTTATCCTACTGACCTAAATTCCCTTGGCGCAGTTTACCTTTGAACAGCATTTCCCACTTCCGTGCCTCAAATGTTGTGAACGGTCATAGTGCGGGTGTTAGTTACTCCACTGCACCCCCGAAGTAGCTACATTTCAATGTCCGGGTGCAAGGGGGGTCCTGGTGCCACCTGGCCCTGCTTACGCTGAGGTTCCCGGCCCCAGCTGGGACCCCACATTCTCCAGGCTGGCTCTCACTCCTGGGGCCCTTTGGTCCAGCAACATCCATGGCCTTGCCAGATCACAGCTGTTGCTGGACTAGAGAGTCCTGGATTTGGGAGGTTCAACCTGTGGGTGCTTTTCTTGGCTCTTCAGGTGCCTCCATAACATGGAAAAACTGGCTGTTAGCATCTCTTTGCCTCAGCTTCCCCTCCGTCACTCCATGGGGAGTTTTGTCTACTTAGGCTGTTGGCAAATGGCGGCGGGGCCAGCGCCTGATCGCACGCCGGGGCCCCGATCGCAGCGGGAGTTGGTCGTACCCATGACGTTAAGCAGTTTCACTACTCCCGGCGTAATCCATTCGTGTTTTGTTCACCAGTGAGACCATTGGCAGTCCCGCTGTAATCTTCAGCAGGTGTTTTATCAACTGGCTGGAAGCAGCAATCTGAGTGACAGCCTGCTCCCATAAAGGCCCAGTAGTCGGCAGTAAGGAGAGGCCTTGAGGGAACGTGAACGATGCCGACTCCTCTGAAGGCAATCCACCGTCCCACGTGACACGGACGGTCCTTACAGATTCACCTGCTCCCCTCCTCCTGGATGTGGGGAGACATGACGGAGGCACGTGACTTGCCTGGTGGGGAGAGCTGGCTCTTTCCCAGGAAAGCCAAGAGAGTATTGATAGAAATTAAATTCTTTTTGAGTGACAGCAGTTCCTTTGTTAAACCAAAAGGCACCACACCTGTGAGGGACTGTCAGACACGTGGCATGTTGCAACTGTGTCTCACCTTTGGATCACTTAGCCCTTCGGAGGAGACCGTCAGTCACTGCGTTAGCAACTTGGCAGGCGGTACTAACTGCACATGCCCAGCAGGATGGCTATTGCTGAGGGGCGGGCGGATTTAGCTCTGCAGAAGGCCTCTAAAACCCAAGTTTGTCGGCATGGAATAATTTCTTCTCATAATTGTGATAATAGATGAGTCTGAGGAATTCTTGCATTTTCGGCACCGATAGAGGCATCAAAACAAATGTCAAACCGTTAGAAATCCTTTTGTTTCAGATAAACCCTTATTAGTCTGCTGTTTATTTCCTGGGGATGTTGCAAGACCCACCGAGCATAGCTAGATCACAGACCGCGAGCGGTGTGGCCCTGGGCCCACGGCGCACTTGCAGATGTGGGGGAGGTCAGGCCAACAGACACAACAACAAGGGGAGAACATTTTGATCTGTGAGGATAATTTGCTGCCTGAACTGTTTAATTAGGGCGCAGGGCGAGGGCTCTGCTGTTCGGTTAAGACGGTAGGAGCAGACCCTTTGGGCATGCTAGGCTAGCAGACTGGCCCACATAGCTCCAGGAGCCCAAGGGGAGAGGCCCTGCCATCACTAGTACAGTGTGCGGGTAGGCACTGTTACAGGAGGGGTGCCCAACTTTCTGAATGTCAGGGCCGTGGAAGGGCTACGTTTATCATCGAGCACTGAAGCAGCCCGAACCTCTCAGCTCTTTTGAAGACCTAGGCCTGGGGGGCTGGCCCAAGGTGACACCTGGGCTACGTCTAGACTGCCATGATTTTCCACAAATGCTTTTAACGGAAAAAAAGTTTTCCGTTAAAAGCATTTGCGGAAAAGAGCGTCCAGATTGGCACGGACTCTTTTCCGTAAAAGCACTTTTTGCGGAAAGGCGTCCGTGCCAATCTAGACACGGTTTTGCGCAAGAAAGCCCCGATTGCCATTTTCACCATCGGGGCTTTTTTGCACAAAACAATACCGCGTTGTCTACACTGGCCCTCTTGTGCAAAAGCATTTGCGCAAGAGGGCTTTAGCCTGAACAGGAGCAGCATAGCATTTCCGCAAGAACACTGACAATCTTACATGAGATCGTCAGTGTTCTTGCGGAAATTCAAGCGGCCAGTGTAGACAGCTGGCAAGTTTTTCCGTAAAAGCAGCTGATTTTGCAGAAAAACTTGCCAGTCTAGAAGCAGCCCTGGTGCCTAAGGAAGAGCCAGGCATTGAACCCAGAACTCCAGTGCATCCACTCTGAGTTTACAAGACCGTCCACTCTGAATTCCTACCAGGGCAGCTACAAAGTCTTTATTTTCACTGCTACATTTCTGAAGTGAACCAGGGAATTACATTTCTGTATCTGTGTGCTACCTCCAAGTCCTGCTTTGTCTATTTCCACATGTGAAAAAGGTTAACCTGGGGACTTGCACTGTGAAATGCTCTTGGATGGGAAGTTTAGAATTAATGCTAGAGTAAATAAAAATGTTGCTGATAGTCTTATGTGTCTATCTCTTGCCTTAGCACAGCAGGCAACCTGATCAATTGAGATCAAGAAAGAAAGAAAGAGACCGACGAGTCCAGGCTTAGAAATTAAGCACATGCTGATTAGGGCTTAACTTCCAGGGCCCAGAGTAAAAGAAACGGTTGTTGAGGTCCAAATAAGTTTGATTTACAAAGCACTGACTTGAATTCAGTGGCATGCACACATGTGGCTTTTGTACTCTAATTGTACTCAGACTAACACCCAGTTTTGAGATTGGTTAATGAGGAAGAAGATACAGTATCATTATCCCCGTTTTACAGAGATGGAAATTGAGGCACAGAGCAGTCACATCGCCTGCCCACAGTCACATGTCCAAGCCAAGTAGCCCTAGTCTAATATGCAAGCCTCTGAACTCCATTGGCTCTCCACAAATACACCAAAATATTCCCCCTACTGAATTTGCAAGACCTCTGCAGAGTATCACCTGTCGGTAGCAGGGCGTATTCCTAGGATGCCTGCTCGGCAAATGCCATTCGAATTGCTGTCGGCTCCCACTTTGTGTCTGACCGCTTGCTCACGCTAGAAGTTTATTTTGACAAAGCGGAGCTTCAGACAAACTTGGGAATAAGGAAGGAGCAGCAGAGTTCAAGCTGGCGGGCCTGCCTCTGCGTGTGCGTTTCTCTCTGCCTCTCACTTTATCTGAGCTTTGTGGCAGCTGATAAAGAAAGGGATTGTCTCTTCTCGCCCTGCCAAGCTAAAAATCCCACTTTGGTATTCACAGTACAGTTATGACAAATGCCTGGCCTGTGTTCTGGGTGTTCAGGGAAATGTAAAACCATGTCTAGTTGTTGTGCATGCTCACGTGGTGATTTGTTGGTTTGATTCTTCAGGTCGTGAATTGGCAAGCACAACCCTCCCAGGATACCCTCCCCACGTCCCCCCTGCTGGACAGGGCAGCTACTCTGCTCCAACACTGACAGGAATGGTGCCTGGTGAGTTTACACCCCCTCCCTTGCAGCATTACAGGGCTTTCTGGTTGTTGTGCACTGATGCCAGCAGAAGACAGAACTGCAGGGATGAAAAGAGAAAAGCAGATGCAAAGCGGGACTAAATAAATAAGCCAGCCCCTCTTCAGCACAAGGGAGAGTCTCACGTCTCCACTGCCAGAACAAACTGGTCCCTTCAATGTGCAGGGAAAAGCAGGGAGCCCCGATGCACGGTCGTTTGACACGTGTTGAGCCCATCGTATTCCCCCTCCCTGTTCGTCACGAGGATCATTTTAATCAGCATTTGAATGTTAAGCATGTTACATGTACTTGTGCCAGTGGACTAGAAGGGCTGCACTCTGGCATGCCTTTGTGGGACTGGGATGCGTCACATTGTTACTTTATGAAGCACAAAATCGGACCAGCTCACAAATTTTCCTCGGGCGTTTTCCTTTCGTTGTAAACTTCGGTGTGTTTCTGTGAGAACCCCCGGCTTGGGAGGGGAACTGCTCATCATCTGCTGGAGGGCACGCAGGCTCGGGTCTCCAAAGGACCCATCTGCCTAGCTCCCATGGAAATTTATGAGAGTTAGGCACCTAAATCCCCTTGAGGAACCAGACCTGAGTGCCCTCCGCTCCTTGGAAGTCAGTGGCAGCCTCCTCTAGGAGGAAGCCCTTATGTAGACACCTGGGTTATCCGTTATTGGCAATTTTTGATCTGCAATTATTCCTCTATGATCCCAGATACTGTGACGATACCATTGGAGCTTTAGACATAGACTGATAAGGCTACAGACAGATGAGGTTCCAAAGACTATTATGTTGTATTTGGTCCTGGGTTTTGCATTACAGTATGATGAAAATCACTGACTTCAAAAGAGCCATGTGGATTTTCAGCAGCTAAGCATCTGGCCCTCATAACCTGTGATCCCATTGTTAAGGCCACCGCTGCTTACTAGGAAAAGTGCTCTACAGTATTGCAAACCCCGAGCATTCAAAAGTTACAAGACAGATTTTTAAAAATCATGGGACTTTAAAAAAAAAAAAATGCTGGGTGGGGTTTTTTACTTGCTTCCTGGTTTCTGGGCCATTGGAGTGTATTCGGATCATATTTTCAAGCTTTTCTTCATGGCCATGAGGCTTAGAAATTTACATTGTTTTTTAAAAAAGGAAACTGAGATTCTTACAGTCACGTGACTCTGGCAACTGGGATTAAGAACAAAATATCATAAGATTTGCGATAACAGCAGATATATTGGTAACAGAGGTTTTATGTGTGGAGTTTGTGGGAGTTTGTATATACGAACAATCGGGATTGCACTTGTCTCCTGGTAATATCTTTAAGAAATTTTAAAAAATGCATTTATTCTTTCTATGAATTGGTTTTAAGAATTAGAAGTGTGAGTCAGGTCATTGTAAAACATGTAGTCATTTTTGTGCATAAAAAGTGTTGCAATGCTATTAAAAGTAATGCGGGGGGTGGGGGGATTGACAAGCGACACAGAAACGCTGCTTTCCTTGCTATAGTAAGGGCTTTTTTACACTGTAAGGCTTTACAGCATCCAAAAAAAACTTGTCAGGGGTTTCAGGCCAGGTTCTCAACTGGTGTAACTGGAGCATCAGCCATTTGCACCTGCTGAGGATCTGGTCTTGAAAATGCAACAGCATCTTGCTGTGATTGCAAGTCACTTCCTACAATGTAAATATTAAGAACCTAAAAAAGTTGCATCAGTGTAAAGGTCCTTATAAGATTTCCCTAAACACGTCTTGCCTTTATACAAGCAGCTCTGAACCGCAGCTGCGAACAGGGCTGGGTGCACTAGTCGGAATACAACAGCCCGCTCCTCACCATTCCGTCAAAATCTGCGCATGACGCGATGCTTTATTCTGAAAGCTGGCAACACGTGTTAGCGCCGCTTACTCTGAGCTCGTGGTTTTCTGAGTCTGGCCGCGTTCCAGCACCATGCCCTCTCCAGTCAGAAGCAGGACTTCCTGGTATCTTCTGAAGGAAGCTCATCTGCAATTAGCAAGCGCTGCCTTTAGCTTGGGCAGGCCTGAGAATGGGAAGATTTGCATGAGGCTCCTTGATCACAGCAAGTGTTACATAGTGCCTAGCGCAAGCCTGTGGTTTTAAGGCTAAGCCGGCTGTTGGGCAGCTGTTTGGAAACCCAAATGCTCTGAGCAGGACCTGAGATGGTGTCAGCTCCCTGAGGTGAAAGAAAAAGACCATCCTGCTTTGCCTCCTGGAACAATTTGTGGCCTTCCCCATGAGGGGCCTACACTTTCCCGAGACCAGTGGTTTGGGGTGATGCCTTGGAAAGGCCTGATTTCAGAGCGTGGAAATCAGCCCTTTGAAGGTGCCCCAACTTGACCAGTAGAAAATTGAGACCCCCCCCCAATCACTCGCAACTTTTGAAAGTGCCAGCGTTGATGTTTCCTGGGGGTTCAGATACAGCCTCTGTTAAGATGGTCTCTCTCTGCGCCCTTATGATTTGTATTAATGGAGTGCCCAGGGTTAGGGTTAGGCTCCTAACTCCCATTGGAGTAGACCTGAAAATCCCTTTTGGTGTCAGCCCCACCTTTAGTTGCCAACACCCTCTGAAGCCTTGGCTTTGCCTGCAGTGAGGCCTACCAGGCGGGGGTGAAAGGCAGAGCACAGCAAAGCATGCACTGCGACTGCCCTGTGGGCACTGCTAGCGCAAACTACACAATCCTCGTGTGCGTTAACACAGCCCTCCTTGAACAAAGGCTACCTTAACGTGAACGAGGCATCTTGTAGCTTGTGCCAGGTGCGTCCTCCCCGCGGGCGGCAGGAACACAGTGCCTTGCACTCTGCAATCCGCACACCTCCTACTCTGCACTGCGGCACGGCGCAGACGAGCCCTTAGTCTCTGGCTCAGTCCCCCATCCGCAAGACGAGGTTAACGGCACTTCCCTACTGGCAGGAGTGCAGGGAGCATAAATTCATTACAGATGGGGGTGGAGGGAACGCGCAGACACTCCTAAGGAATGATGCCTGAGACGGGCAGGTATGGTAATATCTACGACAAATTGCGCATTCTTTGGCAGAGTTTAGAACGAGGCAGTGCAGTGACCTAGACTCATTTGAGCGGATTTTGCTGTGTAATAGATTTATTTGTAACTGCTCATAGGCTGGCGTGACCCATTAGATTGAATAACTGCAGTGTTCCTTTCACTGGTTCTTTTAATAACAACCTTCTGCTCCAGCCAGGTTGAAGGTCACCTGCAATTCTTCTAGGCTCTCATTCGCATTGCCGTGCGGCTTTGCTAACTAGAATCCCAAAAATGTCTCTGCCCTGGCTTATCTCTTGGCATCGGATGGGCCAGTTTCCCTGTGAATGCCCAGAGCCCTGGATGGTTTGGTTCCGAAGGAGCTGACAGGTTGGTTGAAGCCGGATGCACATCACTGTTCAGATATGGCTGAATTATTATTTACACAAGGGCATGTAAGTTTGACTAGTTCTCCGGGATTCCCGCCTAGACCCAATGCTTCCCTAGAATAATTTTCAGAGCATATGCCAAATTCGTGGTTCTTTGATAAGAGCTTTAATGGTTAGTCAGGAATGGCTGCTGTAATTAACTGATTGTGTCAGTGCAGTGCTTAGAGACAAGGGGGAAATATAGACATGATAAGACACATACGATGGTTTGTTGCATGCTTGTTGCTGTCGACATCGTTTATGCGACGGCGAATCCCTGGTGCCCGGCTGTGGTGTGTGTATGAGCTAGCAATTCGCAGAACGCATGTTGTCTGGGCTGGGGAAGCAGTGTTAATACTTGGAGATGAGAATACTTGTCCCAAGATTTCTGCCGTGATACATCGGAACTGAGTCTAGCTACTTATCTCCTCCTGCCCAGTCCCACACCAGCTCCCACTCCCTCCCATATCTTGGCTCCAAAGCTCAGCTCAGCGGGCAATGCACCTCACCCTTCCTGTTGGCCTTGTGGTTTCTGCCAGTCACCTCTTCAGCTCCCTCTTTTGTGGCGTCACGGCTGCCCTGCGAGTGGCCACTCACCTCACTTTGGCTCTTGATTTTTGAAATAGACTCTGGGCAGAATCCGGGCTATATAAATAGCCTGTTTTATGGGCGTAGGTTTCATTACCAGAAGCCCCACTGCAGTAAAACCAGAACCCTACCAGCACAGTCCTGCACCAAATACAGCATCTCATCATGCTTCACCGGCTCTGGCTCTACCGGCTCTCTTCATGCTTCACCGCAGCTCCTGGTTCTGGCTCTAGCATCTCATCATGCTTCACCCCAACTCCTGGCTCTGGCTCTAGCATCTCTCATCATGCTTCACCCCAACTCCTGGCTCTGGCTTTACCATCTCATCATGCTTCACCCCACCTCCTGGCTCTGGATCTAGAGTCTCTCATCTCACTTCACCCCACCTCTCTGATCTGGCTCTAGTGTCTCTCATCACGCTTCACCCCAGCTCATGACTCTGGCTCTAGCATTTCTCATCGTGCTTCAACTCAGCTTCTGGGTCTGGTTCTAGTGTCTCTCATCATGCTTCCCCCCCAGCTCCCAGGGTCTTGGATCAGGCCCAGAAGTTTTGGTCTAGTGTCCACATGGTTAAACTTGAGCACATTGCAGTCAAACGGCAGTGTACAGGCATGACTCATTTGAAATTCGTAGGAACTGAGAGAAGTAAATTTTTGATACGTATATTACATGAATTGCCCCGTTACAAATACAGCTTCTGTGAAGCGTGTCTGAAGAGAGGTTGTGGTTTTGGGGGCTGAGCTTCCCTGTGTCCTGGAAGAAGCCCTCAAACTCCATACCTTGGTCCCATCCATTGAAACCACAGTTCCTAAGAACACAAGAGATCTGCTTGTCCACTCAACGGAAACCATGAGAGAACAAAACTGAAGCCAAATCATGTCTGTCTCATTTATGCAATCAGTACCACTGACACTGGCCCCGATTCAGCTGCTGTCACCATAATAGGAGTCTTCCCGTTGACTCTAATGGAAGAGGTATCA